CAGTGGCAATGGCAGTGACAGTGTAGAACTCATTTCGTGACATTGTAGAACTCATTTCTCATTCATCTTTTGTGTTAAGACATCCTGCTAATTGTTGGGCGGCTAACCTCAAGCTTATTTCTATTTCACTTAATTCCTCTGTGCTAAATAATTCATTACCTGTTCGATGTAACATTTCGTTAGCATCTTCTACTAACATTGATAAAGTTTTGTAAGTTTTAGTAATGTTATTTCTTAAGTTATATTTATGAGTAGGAACTGATATATAGATATCCTGATGGGTTAACTGTATAAAATTATTAAAATAAATATCATCTCTTTTCGTGACATCAGGTGATGTAGGAAAAGAAGGTCTATTGCAAATTCCTGACATTATGAATTCCTCAACTTGCATTACGAATTCTTCAGTGTAATACATTGATTTGAGTTATCTAAATATTATTGATTAATTAAGAAGTTATTATAATACAGTTTTTAATAATAAAAATGAATTAGTGCTTGCATATAGTTCCAAAAATATGATAATTAAAAGTAAAAATATATCTAATTCTAGTTAATAAAATAAGTTAATCTAGTATGTAAACTATAAAAATAAAATATATATAATTTTTTTTATTATATCTTAAAATTTTTTTTTTTTTTTTAGTATACGTTATCTAAATATAGTGAGAGAAAAAAAATGCTAAAATAATAAATTTAGTATAAGTTATATGAATTAAAAAAAAACGAATTTCTACTATTCTCTACGGTATCCTTTAACTACGGCAATAGGTCTAGGTGCTATTATGTCAGGTGCAGATAAAATGGATGGTGACCTCGGTGAGACACCCTGCGGCTGGTATTTAATCGTCACCTGAGGGAAATGCAATAACGCATGTGGATTGCTTATCCCTGGTGCTAAGGACAAAAGAGCCAGAGGAACATTCCTCCGGTCCTCACAATTTAACAAAAACTGGGCCGCTGCTACCAGATGGTTCTCAAACTGAGTTAAGTCAGTGCTGGTGAAACTAGTGTTACTAACGACGTTCGCCCTACCTAGGCACCAATCCAAGGATCTATAATGGTATCTATTATGGCGAATTCTATCTTTATAAATGATTTGACATAAACTATAAAAAAACACACTTAAATTATATTCTGATGGGCTATAGACGATCTTTGCTGCCGAATCGACCTTATGGAATCGTGCAAATAGCTGATATTCCATGGTGAACTGTTTAAATATTAAATTAAATGAGTAATTAAAAATTTCACTTACAGAACTTAAAAATTGTTAATTAAATTAAAAACTAATCGCAATACCAATATAAAATTAATTATTATTAGTACTTATTATTAAATATTATTATTATTAAGCTCATCTAATATATCTCCCAAAAACATGCCCTGTACTATTAAGGTATCAATAGTTCTTGCAAATGCCTTACAAACTCTATTAATATCTCTAGTATCTATTTCATCTCGAATAAAATCTAAAATTGGGCCAATTGTTTTATTTAGCTCCTCCTCAGTATAAGGATTATCTATTAAGGCATTAGCCAATCCTACATGGTTTCCTAAACATGTTAATGTAACGAAATTTCCGTTTGAAACTGTAAAATGGTCTTCCGTATCCATTGCTATATTTTTAGAGCTACTATGAAACTAATTGCTCGTGATCGACTCAGAGCCAGAGAAACATTCCTCCGGTCCTCACAATTTAACAAAAACTGGGCCGCCGATACCAGATGGCTCTCAAATTGAGTCACTTGAGTGTTATTGAAACGCGTGCCACTGATATCATTAGCTCTACATAGACACCAATCCAAGGATTTATAATGGCAACGATTATGAATAATCCTATCTTTATAGATGACCTGACATAAATAAGACGCTTAAATTATATTCCAGGGGAGTATGCACTATTTTTGCTGCTGAATTGACTTTATTAAAGCGCGTAAACAGTTGATACTCCATGATAATTTGAATGATAACTGTGTGACTCCGAATGTTTATGCTTTAAGAAATAAATAAATGTACTTGATCTTCGGCTTTCATCTCCAAGTCCAGTAGTGTCTTACGTAATGTGTTTGTCACCATGCTAATTACAAAAGTCTTCTTTTTCCTCCCACACCAATATTTTTGAAAAATATCCCTTCTCGTCTCTTCGTTAAAGGCTTGGACATTTTTTTTTTTACTCCTTTTACATCTTCGAATACTCTCGGTCTAAAACTGAACAATTTTAAGAATTATTTTTTATTTAATTGATTTGAAAAATTTTATAGCGTGTGCCTAGAAGAAACAAATATTTACCTAGGATCTCGCTACGTATTCTGTACTCAGTCTTACTAATAATTGAATATGACTGCTTAATTATATTAATTTTCATACATTTATACTAGATGCATCTATTTAGATGTATACTTCACCAACACCTAACTTATATTAACATAATATAAACGTTTATGAAAGAAGCGGTCTTATGCAATTGAGCCACTGAGTGATGTCTTTTAGTAAAATACCGAGTTATAATATGTCACACATTTGATTTTCCCTGCTCTACTTTTTAAGACCTTAATATCACATCGAATTATTTTGAAAAATTATTATCCATTATTTTGGGAACAATTTTGAGGTTATTATAATTTCTTTAAAGTGCTATACAAGTATCGTTTATTTATTTTCTGAGTTATAATTCAAGGAAATAAAATAAAGATCCGTTAATAGCAAAAGTACAGAAATTTCGGAATTCAAGTTCGGGCAACCTTGAGTTTTAATAATAATTGTTCATACCTATTGTTGACTATAAAATTACTGGTCACCAATTATCGAAAATAATAAAACAAGTTAAACTTATGTTTAAATGATTTAACTTAACTGGCTTTATCACCAACGTTAACTATTTTGCCTTTTTTTGGTAGTCCATGTTTTAAACATATTTAAAAAAAAAAAAAAATGTATCCGAAATCTAACATTGGTTGTTTACGTAAAAATATAGGAAATTTAGAAAAGTAGTTTAAAAATCACAAACGACACGAAATATTTGTATGCATATTAAATTTGATTACTTACCAAAAAAAAAAAGGTTAAATTTGAAAGCTGTAAAGAATACGTTTTACTGGTTTTTGCTTATTATAACATAAGTAACACACTGATTTATACTAATGGATAATATTATAGTATAATATAGAAATTATGCTGTGTCAAGAGTGTAACTTGTCACGAGTGCTTACAGATAAAAGTCGAGTCAAATAAAAAATAATACAAATTGTGTATAAAATAAGGAAGCAACGTGTTTTGATGATATGCTAGGTGTGTTACAATCGTATAAGGATTACGCGCTATATAAGATGATTTGCTGACTTGGCTACTTATATTAGAACTAGCGGGCAGTAATCTCTTAATACGAACACCAAATTACACAACATGTTGACTTGCTCATTGACAGCAAAATATTCTTTAAACACGGACAAAAAAAGTGGTTTAAAGAAAAAGCTCTTAGAAAAATTTCACAAAGGCTATTGGCAGCCAATGAAAAAAAAAAAAACTGAGCTTAGTCAACATGATTACGCACGTGACAGTGTAACAACTTGACTTGACATAAATTATGTATAAAAAACTTGTTAAAAAAAAAGAAAAAAACGTACAAACGATTAAAATATATTTTTATTGAAAGGCAGTAAAACGTATTCAATTTTAATGATAAAAAAACATGTTTAGAAAAAAGTAATAAGAAAAAAAAAGTTTTTAAATGTGAGAGTAATTTTATTTTTAATGCATACGATTATTATAAAAAAAATATATTCTGAACAATTATTCTCTTATGAAAATAAAACTAAAAGCTCGTTTCAACAAATTTTAGATTATCGGCTTCTAAAAAAAAAAAAAAAAAAATGAACACAAAATATTATGAATAATATGTGATGTTTAAAGCATGTACTATCTTGTATTGTTATTTTAGATGATTATACTATAATATATTAACTTACAGTTTTATTTATATTATTAGTATTGTGTTAGTAGTACTGGCAGGTGGCACGTTTTCTATAAAGTGTTCATCATATTTTTTCAACAATGTTGAATGAAAACCTAGACATATCTAGTCGATAAAAGGTAGCCAGTAATGTTCATAAGCAGACTTAATCAAAAATAGTGTTTCCAAATAATAAATTAATTTTTATTGCAATTACCCTCTCGTTATTATTATTGCCACATTAATAAAATTGTACAATTATTTGTGTCCCAAAATTATTATCGATCGGAACTCAATGGTTCAATATTGCAAAATCGTATAGGGGTTCTCTTTGAGGAGTGAGTAGGTTGTTTTTTTTTATTGACCTACTTAAATAATATTGATTACATTGTCTAAGGATGAAGAAAAATATGTTAAAAAATGTGTCAACGTCCCAAAAAATGTTTTGCATGGTTCTATAATTTACTATGTCGAAGGCTTCTATAAAGTCGAACTGTATTGTAGGGCTTTTGCGCATCAATACTTCTGAATGCAATTCGTTCATGTATCCATCGATGGATAAAATATTTAAATGTAATGGTTACATTGAATGCGTGGATCCTAATGTATGTTATTTTTTCCAAGTTGTGAATAGTTAATGGTAAAATCAAATATTTCTTCATCAGGGATCGTGTTTATAATATGTACTTGCTGTCCTAACCCTGGCGTTGCCCGTTAAATTTGGCTTTTTAATTTGGCTCGTTCCACAACACGAGGCGTTTGCCGGCACCATCTGCCCACGAAAAGTTATTTGTTTTATTAGCCGTTCCGAACATGCCGTAATTTAAAAAGAACGACGCAATAGCATCGAAAAAGTAATTTTTGCCGGCAGATGGTGGACTTACTACGCACATCGAATTGCGTTTCGGTATTTTTTTGTCGCAGATATCGTAAATGTCTTTGAGGAACTTCGAGATGGTATCCGAATCATTTTGAAACTGTAGTTCCAACAAGTCATTGGCGATTTTAACCGAAACGTCGACGTCGTAGTATACGCTATCGTGTTGCCGAGCGTACGCGTTAAAATAGGGAAAGATGCCGGGGGTATTGTAAAAATTGTCGAAATCCGATATCGTCCATTCGGCGATACGAGCACACCAATTGCGAAGGGCGACCCTAACTTTTTTGGAAGTATCGTCGAGAAAATTAAGTTTGGGGTTATTGTAAAATTCTTTTATATTAAAAAAAGCGTCTGGCGGGCAGCAAGGATATGTTAGCAATAATTGTTCTAATGTTTCTGGCCATAGGTGTAGCTCTTCTCCATCCGTAAATTGGATTTCGTTTTTAAATCCGCCATCAGATCTCCAACCAGACCGTCTAATTTTTTTTTCGTCGGATGTCCCTGCTTGACCGTCCCCACCGCCTTCACGTGGACACGGGTGTACCACTGAGAGCGATCCAAGTTCCGGATATCCTCCTTCCTTTAAATTACATCGATATACATTAGTCAAAAATTTTATCGTTTTTATCGTTTTAAACAACTTACTTGTACATTTTCAATTCGTACACGTAATCCTCCATAATTACGTGGGCCTTCGCTGTTTTTGACTGAGTATCCTTTTGCAGAGAAATATCTAATGATATTCTCCCAGTCGACAGTTTTGAGGTCAGCGAGGAAAACTCGTCGTCGATATCTAACTCGTCGCCGTGCCCTCCAGACGGTGCTATGACGGAGCCAGGCACAGCGACAAGCTGAGTTTGAGTAAGAGCAGGCGTGCACGACGTGGACGTGGTCGCCGTGTTCCGATATAATTCTGAACTGCTCTCTGGTTGTCTGATCGCACTGCTGGAGTCCCACCGCGAGTTCAGCATAAAGTTTAACAAACTCTTCGCGTCCCTCAGGGACACATATGTCCGTGAGGTAGGCGGAACGGCTTCCCAGATATCGCTGATGCAACTCAGCGGCGTGTTCTCCAAGCAGTCGGTTGTCTTCCAGTAAATCTGGCCCAAAATGATCATGTATGTGTCGAACAGGTTCGACGAGTCGTCGGTGTTTGGAATGCGGCACACCGGGATCGAGTATAACTTCGTCTTGAGATCTTGCATTACATTCAATGTCGGGCATTTCCAAAGCTGGAAATTTAACAACGTCGCCAATATTTCGGCCTTGGAAATGTTCGGCATCGGGTTCTTGTTGACAAATATGGCCATCATTATTACCACCGCGACTGTCGGCATCAACATCAGAGACTCGATCGGCACGTCCTCGGTGAGCAACACTTCCATGAAGCCCGAAAAATGAGTAAAGTCGGCCAAATCGACTATGGTTTTCACGGGTAGGTTTAACAGTGTTGTCGACTGCATTTCTCGCCATGTCCTGTCCGTTGTCTCGTCCTCCGAATCCACCAACTCGATAACTTGGTTCGACGGTTGTTTCGTTTTTTTCGGTTGGTGGTGCGGAGCGGAAGTAAACCCCAGTTTGGCGTTTGGCCTTTTTTTCAGCGTGGTTTGTTTTGGTTTTGTCGGGGCCGCTGTCGATGTCGAAGCGATCGGTTGGTGTTCTTGCGTAAAAATTTCGGTTTCTTGCAGATCCATTTTCGTTTTCTGGCGGCGAGTACAATGTTTTCTGTGGAAAATTTGGTAACGCACTGTAACCGAGATCCATACTCGATGCTTTTTATATGCGCTTCGTGAGGCCACTTTGGGTAAACATATTGTACTAACGCATTAACTACGAAACGGGTTTTTATAAGACCATCTGTGCAACTAGTCCGCCCACGTGCACGTGCCACTATTTTTGCCGCCGCCGCCGCGAACCTCGTACTGGTTGCTTGTTCACCAATTTCAAATTGGTATACGACGACGACGACGACGACATGTGGGGTTACCTCACTCCACCTTACTAGCTTACCGCCGGCGGCCTAAGGCCATGCCATGGCATGGGCTAGCCTTAGGCTTTTATGACTCAGAGAGCTATTATAATATGAGTATTATTAGGCTTAGTGTAGTTGTGTGTTTTGTGTAAATGGTTTGTAGCGGTTAACTGAAGGGTAGGGTCATAACACATCATACTTTATTAAGTACCTACATACACAGAGTATTTGAATGACATTGTATAGTTTAATTCTAGTGTACAATTAACCGACTGCTAAAAAAGAATAAAAGATAATTATAAAGTAGGGTGATCAACATTTATTTTATTTTATAGATTAGCAAAAAAAAAAAAAATACAAATTAAGATTTGTACGGAAAGTAAACATTTTTATTAATTGCTGCTGGAACTTGCGCCTCGTCATCCCAATCTTCTATTACACCAAAAACCTTCTCGTCAAACCATCCTCCATATATCCCAGCGTGGACATTTTCCACACCATGCTTCCTCCTAAGGTGCGGGTGTATTTTTTTTGCCGGAATAAGATGGTCTACGTTTAACGGGCAATTTAAACATACCTCGCTATAATTTGAGCTTTTTGTAGTTTGTGACATTTTAAAAACTATGAAGAACATTTTTTTTGATTTTATGAAAGTTTACAACTAAATTACAAATAGGTAGCACAAAAAAAAAAACAATATTTATTACAAATTTATATAAATATTTACAAGTATGTTTGTTTTAATAATCAACTTAAACTTAAGTACTTAATAATATTTGCAATTTTTTTAACATCTCTGATTGGAGTTGGATATTTTACACAACTAAAATCTAACTTGCTACTTTTCTCCAAATAATTGAAATATTTTTTAAGAAATCAACTTTTGTTACTACGCACATCAAATTTAGACGAAATAGCATATTTAAAACATTTTTCATCATTATTATAGACGTTGTTTACAGCTTTCTTATTTTGGAGTTTTTTTGGTAACGTTATATATTTTAATAGTTAGGTTACATCTGAACCTGATGTTGTGAAAACATTTGAATTTTTGAAGGCAATATCTCTAATTTCAAAGCTCATTAAATTTTCGTATACACAATCGAGGTATAAATTAAATTTGATTGATGTGTTTTGACATTCTTCTTTGATTTTTGGTAATAAAAAAGATGTGGCGTATTCAAAAAATGTAGTAAAGTCTTATAACTTAAACAAGTTTTTTAAAAAATATGGTTTTGAACGTCGCTTTCTAAATGATTCTATTTCCTCTAAACCATCTCCAACTATATTAAGACGCATCTGCTTCGTAATATTACTCATTTCAACTGTGAAACAAAATTAAACAATTGTGATATAGTATCAAAAAACCGTTAAATAGTTATAGGCTGACTGGAGGGATACATTTGTGATGCTTGGTGATGTATAATATCAAAAAGTATCGTGTTGTTCAATTTGAAACCAATTTAGGAAGATGGATTTAAAATAATTTAAGACTTTTTTCAAAATTATAAGTATAAATTTATTGTACAGTAAAAGTGCGTAGACAAACTGCTACATAGGTGTATTTAACTTGAGTGTAATAATTCGTCTGGAATAGGCTTGGATCCTACTCCTATTTATATTCATCTTTTGTGTTAAGACATCCTGCTAATTGTTGGGCGGCTAACCTCAAGCTTATTTCTATTTCACTTAATTCCTCTGTGCTAAATAATTCATTACCTGTTCGATGTAACATTTCGTTAGCATCTTCTACTAACATTGATAAAGTTTTGTAAGTTTTAGTAATGTTATTTCTTAAGTTATATTTATGAGTAGGAACTGATATATAGATATCCTGATGGGTTAACTGTATAAAATTATTAAAATAAATATCATCTCTTTTCGTGACATCAGGTGATGTAGGAAAAGAAGGTCTATTGCAAATTCCTGACATTATGAATTCCTCAACTTGCATTACGAATTCTTCAGTGTAATACATTGATTTGAGTTATCTAAATATTATTGATTAATTAAGAAGTTATTATAATACAGTTTTTAATAATAAAAATGAATTAGTGCTTGCATATAGTTCCAAAAATATGATAATTAAAAGTAAAAATATATCTAATTCTAGTTAATAAAATAAGTTAATCTAGTATGTAAACTATAAAAATAAAATATATATAATTTTTTTTATTTTATCTTAAAATTTTTTTTTTTTTTTTAGTATACGTTATCTAAATATAGTGAGAGAAAAAAAATGCTAAAATAATAAATTTAGTATAAGTTAATATAAGTTATATGAATTAAAAAAAAACGAATTTCTACTATTCTCTACGGTATCCTTTAACTACGGCAATAGGTCTAGGTGCTATTATGTCAGGTGCAGATAAAATGGATGGTGACCTCGGTGAGACACCCTGCGGCTGGTATTTAATCGTCACCTGAGGGAAAAGCAATAACGCATGTGGATTGCTTATCCCTGGTGCTAAGGACAAAAGAGCCAGAGGAACATTCCTCCGGTCCTCACAATTTAACAAAAACTGGGCCGCTGCTACCAGATGGTTCTCAAACTGAGTTAAGTCAGTGCTGGTGAAACTAGTGTTACTAACGACGTTCGCCCTACCTAGGCACCAATCCAAGGATTTATAATGGTATCTATTATGGCGAATTCTATCTTTATAAATGATTTGACATAAACTATAAAAAAACACACTTAAATTATATTCTGATGGGCTATAGACGATCTTTGCTGCCGAATCGACCTTATGGAATCGTGCAAATAGCTGATATTCCATGGTGAACTGTTTAAATATTAAATTAAATGAGTAATTAAAAATTTCACTTAAAGAACTTAAAAATTGTTAATTAAATTAAAAACTAATCGCAATACCAATATAAAGTTAATTATTATTAGTACTTATTATTAAATATTATTATTATTAAGCTCATCTAATATATCTCCCAAAAACATGCCCTGTACTATTAAGGTATCAATAGTTCTTGCAAATGCCTTACAAACTCTATTAATATCTCTAGTATCTATTACATCTCGAATAAAATCTAAAATTGGGCCAATTGTTTTATTTAGCTCCTCCTCAGTATAAGGATTATCTATTAAGGCATTAGCCAATCCTACATGGTTTCCTAAACATGTTAATGTAACGAAATTTCCGTTTGAAACTGTAAAATGGTCTTCCGTATCCATTGCTATATTTTTAGAGCTACTATGAAACTAATTGCTCGTGATCGACTCAGAGCCAGAGAAACATTCCTCCGGTCCTCACAATTTAACAAAAACTGGGCCGCCGATACCAGATGGCTCTCAAATTGAGTCACTTGAGTGTTATTGAAACGCGTGCCACTGATATCATTAGCTCTACATAGACACCAATCCAAGGATTTATAATGGCAACGATTATGAATAATCCTATCTTTATAGATGACCTGACATAAATAAGACGCTTAAATTATATTCCAGGGGAGTATGCACTATTTTTGCTGCTGAATTGACTTTATTAAAGCGCGTAAACAGTTGATACTCCATGATAATTTGAATGATAACTGTGTGACTCCGAATGTTTATGCTTTAAGAAATAAATAAATGTACTTGATCTTCGGCTTTTCATCTCCAAGTCCAGTAGTGTCTTACGTAATGTGTTTGTCACCATGCTAATTACAAAAGTCTTCTTTTTCCTCCCACACCAATATTTTTGAAAAATATCCCTTCTCGTCTCTTCGTTAAAGGCTTGGACATTTTTTTTTTTTGCTCCTTTTACATCTTCGAATACTCTCGGTCTAAAACTGAACAATTTTAAGAATTATTTTTTATTTAATTGATTTGAAAAATTTTATAGCGTGTGCCTAGAAGAAACAAATATTTACCTAGGATCTCGCTACGTATTCTGTACTCAGTCTTACTAATAATTGAATATGACTGCTTAATTATATTAATTTTCATACATTTTATACTAGATGCATCTATTTAGATGTATACTTCACCAACACCTAACTTATTTTAACATAATATAAACGTTTATGAAAGAAGCGGTCTTATGCAATTGAGCCACTGAGTGATGTCTTTTAGTAAAATACCGAGTTATAATATGTCACACATTTGATTTTCCCTGCTCTACTTTTTAAGACCTTAATATCACATCGAATTATTTTGAAAAATTATTATCTATTATTTTGGGAACAATTTTGAGGTTATTATAATTTCTTTAAAGTGCTATACAAGTATCGTTTATTTATTTTCTGAGTTATAATTCAAGGAAATAAAATAAAGATCCGTTAATAGCAAAAGTACAGAAATTTCGGAATTCAAGTTCGGGCAACCTTGAGTTTTAATAATAATTGTTCATACCTATTGTTGACTATAAAATTACTGGTCACCAATTATCGAAAATAATAAAACAAGTTAAACTTATGTTTAAATGATTTAACTTAACTGGCTTTATCACCAACGTTAACTATTTTGCCTTTTTTTGGTAGTCCATGTTTTAAACATATTTAAAAAAAAAAAAAAATGTATCCGAAATCTAACATTGGTTGTTTACGTAAAAATATAGGAAATTTAGAAAAGTAGTTTAAAAATCACAAACGACACGAAATATTTGTATGCATATTAAATTTGATTACTTACAAAAAAAAAAAGGTTAAATTTGAAAGCTGTAAAGAATACGTTTTACTGGTTTTTGCTTATTATAACATAAGTAACACACTGATTTATACTAATGGATA